GCGGTAATTACAGACAGAATGAAGCTTCCAGTTCTACTCCTGGTTTTTTGTTTTGGCTCGTGGACAAGTGGAGATGACTCTGAATGGAGAAAAGGTATTTGAGAGAAAAGTATCTCACGTATGTATGAATCGAGCACACACACTTCTTTATGTATGGATTTATGTACGAAGTCCAGTTTTTAATGCGTCAAAATAATTTTTAAATAAGTGTCTAAGTATGTTAATTAAAAATTAAGCCTCTTGTCATGGAATGGGACTTAATAAAAAAACAAAATAATTATTAAAATAAGGTTAATTTTTATCAATATTTAAAAAAAAAATTTGAATCTGTTTATTTAATTATATAGTACTAGAAAGTTTAACTTGGTGTTACAGGTTTAATAATGGCAGCCAAATTTCGTTTTCTGTCTCAACATCATAAAATCCAATTTTTTTTCATTATGTAACTTAATTGCGGTTTGATATATTGTATCCTCAAAAAATAATGGCGGTATCAACGACCATGTATTGTATGTTTAGTAAATAGTAAATAATCATTTCTTTTTAAAAAGATGTATTTATGTATATATGAATATGTTTACGTTTGTAACTCCACCGTGTTTTGAGATATTTGTATATTCTATATTACAGGCCTGCGCAACTCAAAATGTAAGGCGGGCTGCAATACTTTATGAAAGCTTGTTCGGGCAAAAAGAAAATAGGACAGGGGAAAGTTATTAAGAAAATAATCAGAATAAAGAGCTTTTTGTTACTTCGCGGGCCGCAAAGTGGGTGCCGGCTGGCCGCATACGGCCCGCGGGCCATATGATGTGCAGGCCTCCTATATTACATAAGCTTACTCAATAAAATTTCACGCACTTGAATTACAAAGAATATATTTTTCTTTAATATTGTCAGCGCAGGAAAACTATTTTAAAAAAATCTTTTAACATTAAAAAAAAAAAAACCCAAGTGACATTTAAGTAATTAGTTGATTGATTAGTAGCCTACTTTACTTAACAAGTGTGCCCAACATTTTGACTCGCTCCTCAATTCTATAATCGAACATTCGTTTGAAAAACAGATAAATCATTTAACCAAAGAAGATAACAGATAAATCATTTAACCAAAGAAGATAACAGATAAATCATTTAACCAAAGAAGATAACAGATACATCATTTAACCAAAGAAGATAACAGATAAATCATTTAACCAAAGAAGATAACAGATAAATCATTTAACCAAAGAAGATAACAGATAAATCATTTAACCAAAGAAGATAACAGATAAATCATTTAACCAAAGAAGATAACAGATAAATCATTTAACCAAAGAAGAATTTCTTAACGGATTTTGCGATCTATAACATTGTTTTTTTAATTAAAAAATAATCATAGACTATTTGATCCCATCCTGTCATTTGTGGAAATTGATTGAATTTGTTTATTTCAATTCGATATTAATTTATTAAAATCCGGAGATATTCAACGGATAAAAGCTAGAAGAAGAATATTTTATATTATTTAAATTTGTTAAATGCAGTTTTTTTCTGATTGATTGTGTGCCATACGATTACACTCCGGAGCCATCAGAATCTTCGGTACTGACAATTTACATTAGGAATTGAGGTCAGCGAGACTTCACATTAGCTCTTTATGCCCTTCCCAGAGATCTCCTCCCCCCCCCGCCCGAGTTATCGGACCGCGAGGCGGCACGCTGGAGATCTCCATTCTGGAGATCTGCAACTCCCGGCAGCACACACTTGATCGAGTACGAACGGGAGCCCGAGGAAATCCGGTGGGCCGGAGACGCTGCTCTGAAAGTCGGGCTATAGTATTTACGTCATAGAATCTCCCCCCCCCCGGCCCACCCCCAGGAAGCGCCAAACGCCTCTATTAGTTATTTTTAAAGTGGGTTTCTATCTCGCAGCTTGTTTACGAAGCACTTGGCCCTAAACGTTATCATCTGTACCAAAATTTTGCTTCCACTGTTGAATGAAGAAGAATAGCCATGAAAATGAAATATATAAAGTGCGAACTTTTCCCCCACAACAGCTAACCATATATTTCATTTATTGTGCGCCACCGTGTAGTAGAGCTTACGTTTTTTCTTACAGTAGATTAAGTGCAACCTTTTTAGCCAAAAATAGACAGTAGTGCAGCGCAACTTACAATGAACGACAGATAAATCCATCACGGGTAATATATATGTCAAATGAAGAACATCAAATTATTACCTCCCACCCGGCTGCTGCAGACTTTTATAATTATTTCAAGCTGCTGAGCTGAGGGAGTTATTTAAATGGCAGCAGGGAATATTGCACCATCATTGATCGTTGGCGTGTTTTGGGCTTCGCGAAAAAAAGACTGGTGGCTGTTAAATTGTGGTACACCATTAAAATTAGCACTGGATTACTAAAGTTAAGCAGCATAGTTTAAAAAAAAAATCATTTACAAATAAACATAGAGAATCTCTTACCTTCCTCAAGGACTCTCTTACCTTCCCCAAGGACTCTCTTACCTTCCCCAAGGACTCTCTTACCTTCCCCAAGGACTCTCTTACCTTCCCCAAGGACTCTCTTACCTTCCCCAAGGACCCTTTTACCTTCCCAAGGACTCTCTTACCTTCCTCAAGGACTCTCTTTCCTTCCCCAAAGACTCTCTTACATTCCCCAAGGACTCTCTTATCTTCCCCAAGGACTCTCTTACCTTCCCCAAGGACTCTCTTACCTTCCTCAAGGACGATCCTACCCATCCTCGAAAGCTATTAAATCACAACTCGCTCGGCGGTAAAATATTTTCACTGTTCTCTTTAAATTTATGTGCTCAAATAAAATTGCACTCCATGTTACTTGCAACATCGTGAGATTGGTGGTTTGTTTTCAAAATAATGATGCGTATGAATACATGTGACGAGTAATAAAAAAAAAAAAAAAGAGGGACTAAATCGCCGGCCATCTTAGTGAGTGGACTTAAATTTATGTGCTCAAATAAAATTGCACTTCATGTTACTTGCAACATCGTGAGATTGGTGGTTTGTTTTCAAAATAATGATGCGTATGAATACATGTGACGAGTAATAAAAAAAAAAAAAAAAGAGGGACTAAATCGCCGGCCATCTTAGTGAGTGGACGTGCATAATTTTCAGTGACATGATATACATATTATTTTGAGAATTAATTGGCTTTTAACTAGCTGATATTTGGATGTATGTCACAAACTCATCCCACGTGACTTGAGTCATTCTACGTGTATGTGTTGCAAATGGCAAATCTCCTCATTGCACCGTAGTTAGCTTAAATCATCAGGCAACCTGGCGGTCCTGACATATTTGTAAATATGACCGTTACTTACATGATGACCCAAGTCTCACACACAATATTGCTAGTGTAGATCATTAGAAGTCCAATTTCAACATATCATTTATTTATTAAAGGATCACAATATATATAAAACACGTTTCAAATTGATGAATCTCTTATACGTCTTATGCTCCTGGTGTACTTTTTCCATTACCGGCTGTTCCTAACAAGATGGCTGCTTCCTATTCGGCGTATTGGCACTGGGATTATTTTCGTAGCTTTTGCGATATGCTTTATATTTTGTGACGTATATTTGGGAATGGGTAATGGCGTTGTTAATGTTGTTATGTTTTAGCAGGAGCAGCAGTGATGGCGTAGTTAGTAAGGGTGACTTAGCAAAGGAGTTAAATATATATATCCATTGAAAACACACCATCTCTTACATATATTTTGCATTTGATATTATTTCGCAAACTTTTCCGGATAGCGTGCTAAATAGAATTCCCGATCATCATCATCACGTCCCTTAGTCCTTGGACCGCATGGGTGCCACAGATGACATAAAAACAATCCTTCTCCATTCTTCTCTGTTTTCAGGATCTCGCACAGCATCGCCACTCTTTGATGTTATCTTCCCGCTTTTTTTCTTCTGTCTTCCTCTTTCTCTCCCTCCTCTATTTTGGCCTGCATGATTTCACTGACGAACGATTGTTTTCTTCTAACGTGGCCATACCATTCCAGTGTGCGCCTTTTTTACAGTCACCAGGAGGTCATCGTACTGCCCAACTGCTTGACGAATTCCTTAATTCCCGATAACAACGCTAATTTTTTTATATTTTTAAATAACGCAACTGCATTTGGTGCGTAATATTTTCTTCTCTTTCCAGAACATGAAATCTTCTCAATTTCAGTAAGATGTACCGGTAATAAATGTTCGGTTTAAAAGTGATTGGACATCAGATTATTAAAGTAGTTCATGGGCGTGAAATAAAAAGTGTAGAATAACGTATCATGGAAGGAAGGGGTGCAAGGAAAATTGAAATTCTTTAATGTGCATTACTTGAGTTCATGCTTTGTCGAGTAACTTATGTGTTTGGCGGGCTATAGCTAGAAATAGAATAATGATTGATAGAAGTACAGCCACATACATCCAACTCCTTTAGAATAATAACATGGAATCAGACCTTCAAACTGCAACCTTGAAACAAAGCCAGCCCTTAGGGTGTTTGACATGTGCCCTTGCGCAGGGTGCCGTGGCCATAAGGGGGGGGTGTCCTGGGGCGCCCAGTAAATATTTAAATTCCCTTAGTTTATTATAGTGAAGTGTGCTTAGCTACATGTATTGCATTAGAAAACGCACCCCATAGCCTAAGTCGTAATCGGAAAAAAGAGCTGAGCCATACAGGGACATGGTAGGGGGCGCCGAAAAGGTGCATCGCACAGGGCGAAAGATCACCTGAGGCCGTCGTTGCTTGAAATCCATTAAAATATGTCTTCCTTTCCAGGTCCGCCTTATCTATATTTAGATCTATGTATTCTTACTCTAAGGCTAGGTAGTGCCTTTTCTCAACTGATGTACATCACACATTTTTGTTACGGTAGTCAATCTATTTGTGAAGATGTTTGTTGTAATGAAATAGATTGAAGCCTGGTGAAAGCCCCGACTATTCAGCGTATCATTATTACCTTGTCCTACAGGCCACTTTCTGCAGTATAGATTACCTGGGACAAACAATACTTATAGGCAGGTTATACTACCGATTGAATTTCTTCCCTTCCAGAACCATCTAAAAGGCTGCTTACCTTCCTGGCCTTGGTTAGTGGCCAGGTCACCAACGTTAAAGAGGTCAACATGGAATACACCGATTGGGGTGAGACGGAACATGACGTCATCGTCGGTTCTTTCAGACACGTTTTTGTTCCAGCCCTCCCAAATGTAAGTTGAAAAAACAATGTCCAAGCTCGGGGACTAACGTTATCTCGGTCTTTTGTTGTTTTCTTTTTGTGTGTTGGGGGAGTGGGAGGGTGAGTGGTCAAGGGAAAGAGGGGAGGGAAGGGAAGGGGAGAGGGGGAGAGTGGGAGTGGAAGGGAAAGTGCGGAGTGGACGGGGGAGGGGGAGGGGTCGATTCGTTTAAGTTTTTAGTCTGTCGTTTGCGAAGTTGTATCATAAGGAACACCTTTTCTCGACAACTGATTTGATCAGTAGATAAGCAATGGCGGTAGTGCAGCCTAAATTTACAATGAATGCCAGACAGACGCGTCATGGGGAATATTTAAGTAAATGGATAACATATAATAATTTACCCCCCGACCCCCATCACAACCTCCAGGTGCTATAGAACTTTATAATCATTTTAATTTTAAAAAAACAAAACGAGTCAAACAATTGTCAGACGCCTTAAAACAAATGTAATTAAATAACAGAATAATGCATATTTTATGGAGGGAAAGGGGTAAAAAGGGAGTGAGAGGGAAAGGTTGAAAGTTCGAGATAGAAACGTATAGAGATGGACGGAGCAATAGACAGAGAAAAGAGAAAGGTCGACGGAGATTAAGAAAAATACAAAAGATCAATAAAGAGAATGAGAGAGAGGGAGCGAGAGTGAGAGAAAAGAGAGAGAGAGCGGAAGAAGATAGATAAAAAAATGAAGAGGCAAGAGACAGAAGGGGAGAGGGTAATAGAGAGAGAAAGAATAAGGAAAAGAGAAAACGCGAAATGAGAGATAGTGAGAGAGTGAGGGAGAAAGAAAGAAAGAGACTGAGAAAGAAAGAAATAAAGAAAGAAAGAAAGAAAGAAAGAAAGAAAGAAAGAAAGAAAGAAAGAAAGAAAGAAAGAAAGAAAGAAAGAAAGAAAGAGAAGGAAAGAAGATAGAGATATTTGGTCAGTGGCATCGAGTGTCTTAGCAAGTCGTAACAGTATCCAAATTATTTCAGGAAATCGTATTATTGATGCAAGAGTCCGTCAACGCTGTCGTGTACAGGCTGCAGATCCTGATAGTCAGAGAGGGCGACCTGGGCATCATAAGTCTGGAGCCACACAACTTTACGGACGTCAACAAGTACAAGTAAGACAATTTTAAACAAACATGCACTCTAAACCTTTTTTTTTTTTTTTTGTTTGTCCTTAGCTGGGGATGGGAAAGCTGCTCTACAGGCAGATACATATTTTTAATGGGTCTCCCTTTTATCTTTTCCATATCATCCACCCTTTTTAAACAAACATGCGCTCTAAACCGTTTTTTTTTTTTTTTGTATGTCCTTAGCTGGGGATGGAAAAGCTGCTCTACAGGCAGATACATATTTTTAATGGTTCTCCCTTTTATCATTCCCATATCATCCACCCTCTTCCAGCATGTCTTCCGCACAAAATGAACACATCCCCTTATTTATTATGTACTCATAATTTCCATCCGTCCATCCATCAAACCCAGTGGCGCTACAGCCCATGTAGGGCTTTGGCCAACGTCACCACATCCTTCCACGCAAACCTAACGGATGCTTTTCTTTTCCGTGCTTGATTCAAAGATGCTGTAGATTTGTTTACCCACCATCCATCCATCCAAGACTAGGCCTGCCTTTGAGCCGCTTTTCTTTGCTTCTTTTCCTGTTCCCTTCTCTTCTCTTCTCTGTCATTTGTCATTCTTTATTCTCAGTTTCCTGCAAAAATTTTATTTTTATTTTCTGCTACTATTGTGGGATCCTGATATGGACTGTACAGTTCCTGGTAGATTTATAACCTACATACACATCCATCCTTCGTTGGTGCATATATTTCCAGGAGAATATTTATACTATTTCTGTTTAGTATATGACCAACGAAATTGCTATCATTTTATGTTGTTCAGAGTAATATTTAAAAAAAACAACAAAAACATTATTCTATATTTTGAGGGCCCACGATGCTTCTGGCTGCTCGTTTAAATTCAGAATTTTTTTTTTTTTTAAATTTTCGCTTGTCTTGGGGATTGTACTCCAGAACACCAGCGTCAGTTGAGACCGCTGGACCACCCTGCACCCCTGCATTGACTTCACTCGGCAAAATAGAGCTGATACGAAGATTGTTTAAAAGCACCTAGCGTGAACCTGTGCTGTACTCGTATCAATACAGACACACGGGGCAAACATATCACCGTGTTTCTATAATATAAATATGGTAAAGATAAGATTCTAAAATTATGCAGCATTGAATTACTTCAGGTCTGTTCAGTTTGACGTCACCAAAGACTTTGATAACGTCAGTCTCGAAGACCTGAGCCCGACCCGACCAGAATGTGAGTTTTTTTTCATGCAGACCGATGTGAATGTGTTCGTGGGAACTATGCCAGACTGCAATCACATTGTCGACGGGGTGAGTAACTCCGTTTACAATAATTTCTATTTAAAAAATTACTTCGAGAAACTATAGTCCAAGGGACATAATATAATATCCTTTTTAATTTCATATAGCTGATGAAATCTTTCTTCCCAGAAGCGCCCCCCCCCCCAAAAAAAAAAAAAAAAAAAAAAAANTAGTTAATTAAAAAAAAAACACGAAGTCTTAGACAAATTAAACCTATTGATAAAGATCAAATCTTAAGCTCTGCCCCAATCTGGCTTCCCAACCATTTCACTATTTCCACAGAACATGGTAATATAAGTGATAAGCAGCCATCTAAAAGCCATTTAAAGGTTTAGTATTAAACCCAAAATTTATAAAAGCTTTACACATACACAACTTCTGTGACGTATTTTCTTGATAGAGCTCAAAGACTTGTCTGATTTATGTAAACAGCATACCTTGCCCAACAAACCTATATATATATATATATATATATATATATATATATATATATATATATATATATATATATATATATATATATATTTGTGAACCAATTTCTAACTCTGAAAAAATGGTCAAGTGCAGAAAAGTCCCTTCTGAAAACATAAAATGCTGCCCGATATGATAAGACGCTAGCAATGATTCGTTGCTGAGATTTCCAGAAAAAACGTTTATATATATATATATATATATATATATATAATATAACCTTCAAAACAATAGGGACCCATTCATGAACTTAAAATGCACTTCAGTTTTTTTACAAAACCTTCATTCAAGCAACGCACTTACTAGAATACTTTTATAAGAATCTGTACATTTTATTATTGCGCGCCGTCTTTACCAATTAGTGCTTATCTTTTTTACATATATAGAGTAAAACTAAAATAATTACAGGCACATTTTTCTGAAGTTTGAACTGAACAAAATGTTAACATTATAATAGTGTGTACTAAAATGAACATTTGTGTAAATTACTAATTTTTTAACATGATGTCTAAATGAGTTGGAATGATAAACTATGAATGTATTATTTTGCTTATCTTCGGAGAATTTAATTTCTTATTTAACACATCGGTACAGCCATACATGTATAAATACCTAGACGATTATTATTTGTGATCTCAGTTTCACCCTTTTAATTCCCTTCTTGTTTTCGTCCTGTCTTATTCGCTTTTCAATTAATGTAAAACATTAAAAAATGACACAGAACAAAGCTGCTTCCCTTGCAAAAAAAAAAAAAACAACAAAAAAAAACAACGTTAAATTTGTTCTATTCCTTCTATGTTTAAAGGGTTAACTCAAAGATTCGCGATACTTTTAAAGTTTGAAATGTATTGTCAGAATGGGCCACGTACAGGTTTACACATGGCTCAAAGAATTAATTGACAAAAAAAAAAAAAAAAAGTTACTACGTTTATGTGAATAATTTTAATGAGTTTGAGTTTTTATGGGGTTTTTTTTTTTTGTTATGTAATATTAATTAAAATTTTCTATAGACGTATATAAAATTGTATTGCTTAAGTTCCTTTCTCGTCATTATAATATAGGATACGTTCACCAAGTGAAAGTAATATTTATTTTCGGAGAGAAAAGAGCATAGTGGGTTGGTGAATATCATTTCTGCTTTCTTATCATTTGTGGTTGTCGTGGTTTGGCTAAGTAAACATGGATAGGATGGCGTCACCGTGAACGGAGAAGAAAGAAATTATTCAGGGTAAAAGTATAGATTTAAAAAAAAAAATAATAAAAGCAAAAAAAAAACACCAAATTATTAGATCTTTTTTTAATTAACCCTACATATCTAACTAGAATCGAATTTAGAAAGAACTAAACATGATTTTTGGAACGAACCTAAATTGATAAAAGTGGGCGGCAACCATGGGGAATCTACTCTTCTTTACAAAAATTTGAGCGTAGCCCATTAAGCCCCCTTTTCTCTTTTCTTTTTAATAATAACTTTAAGATATTCGTTTTTCAGTTCATTTGTATAATGCATGACGTCATATGTCAAAGACGTGACTTCCTTTTAACATGCATATTTCAAGACTTTTCTCTTATTCATACAACACAGAGACCTGTCAATTACGCTACGACATTCTCTTGTAAAACAATGGCCGTATTGTTGTACGCGGAGCATGCCACAGAGGCCCCCAGCCCCCTGCCTTACACCAACCGGTTCATGACCAGGTAAAGAATGCAACATTTGAGTTTATCTGTGGTGACTTTACTCGGGAGAATATAAGGATAAAGTATCCATTTTTTTTCTTTATCCATAAGGTATCCACTTCTGCCATACGTCACTTCCGGAGCTGATAATTTCCTCCCACCTTGTAACTGTCAATGAAGGTGGCAGAGATTTAATATCTGTTTAAAATTTTATGATCCAGTAGTAATTAATCTTTGATTAATAGTAGCTGTTTAATGTTTATTAAAGAAAAAATATTATTTTTGTGTGTTTAATTGAAATATTTGAAATAAAAGATAAAGGTTAAAATATATAACGATACATTTAACTCGTTGACTATTTTTGTGTGTGGCCTATTTGTCACTGCATGTGTAGACGACACTTATCAGGTAGAGGCACTGTCCATCACAGTACAGTCATTACCACTGTTACGCACTGCCTTCTAGAGTGAGAAATAAATCACTTATTTTAATTTTGTGGCTCGTTCTAAACAGTGCATAAGTAAATGACGATACCATTTGAGAAAAACAATAGGAAAAATATGACACCCAAAACAGTTATTAATTACAATAAATACGATTTCTTTAGTTATCAATATAATTACAAAATAAAGGAAATCTAATTAAAATTTCATCAACTTACAGGGTATGGTATGTCTTGTACCGGTACACAGTTTATACAAAGTGCCAAAAAAATAAGGTATAATGATGAAATACGAATTCACATAAGTAAACACAAAATAAAACACTCTTATCTCGGGAAGTCAAAATCTTATCTCCTTTTTCAATATTGCTCTCTTTGATTTTATAGTCGGTTCTTCCGAAAATTAGGGGAGTATTGCGGATTGTACTAGTAACTAGAACATTCAACTATTTACTATAATTTTCTAAGGCCTTCGACTTCATCAAAACAGACAATAGCTTAATTTGTGGTAAACAAGATCAAAGAGAATAAGCCACGCCCAATACGTACGCAGCCTAATTTGAGGTCAGACAGAGTTCACTGCACGGGGAAAGTGATGTAAACCCTTCCTCTACATAACAGCCACTATACAGTACTTACAATCTAGGTATCAGCAAATATACAGTACTTACCACCAAGGTATTAGCCATTCCACATCCCTAAGAAATATATATATATTTTTAATGCACAAGTGTACTCTCCTTATAATTAGATTCAATAAGCACTTTTAATGTAAATTATCTACTAGTTATAGCTCGTCAAACATTGGCGACAGCAATGTCTAAACGTCCCATATCCTACAGTTACTAGACGAAACATGAACTCAAGTAACGCACATTTAAGAAGTCCACTTTTTTGGTACATCTCTTCCCCCATGATACGTCACTCAACACTTTTTTTTTCCACGTTCATGAACTATATTAAATATTCGTATGTCCCTACCACTCATAAAACGAATATTTTTTTACACCATACTTAAATTGAGACGATTTCATTATCTGAGAAAAAAATAGTATGTGCCAAACGCAATAGCGTTATGTTATGTTAACACAAATCATGTAGGTTTATATCGGGTTATATATTATGCGCGCCATTGAACTCATTATTGAACCATACTTTCTTTCAATCATTTAGAATTATTTTTATTATACTCTCAATACCGAAATCACTGATAAGGAAGCAGTCCAATAAGAAGCAATCGATTTGTAAGCAGTCCAGTAGGAGGGATCGATTAGGAAGCAGTCTATTAGGTAGCAGTCAATTGGGGAGCAGCCCATTAAAATGCAGTGGATTAGAAAGCAACGCATTAGGAAGCAGTCGACTAGGAAGCATTCCATTAGAAAGCATTCCACGAGTCACACCAGAAGCGAAATATATACAAGAGATGATATCTATTAGGCATTGCGTTTAAGTCGCGTGGAGTAAATTAATAGTGTGACAAGATATGTTTCGGTTTGAAAAAAAAAAAAAAGACAAGACAAACGAATTAAAATATGTCTGTTGTTTCTTATTGCATTGTCTTCATCTAGCCGAGACGTAGGTTGAATTGTCGCGTATATTTTAAATTTTATTTTAAGCCTAAACACATCTTTTAACATCATTTATTTTCTGAGCTGTCCACCGAATCATTTGATGTACATATAATAATATTTTTTTTTACTCTTTCATCTTAATAGTAGGTGATAGCTTAACGGGTGAGTATATCTTATGCATTAATGTCGACTTGACCGAATCTGACACTGGCATTAAGTGCATTACAACTATTCCAATCGCACAGTTTAAAAAGGAAACATGAAATTTTATACATTCAAAACTAAAATACAACAGTAAAATGCATTCCTGACTTGTCTAGTTATGTTGATTGGTCTTGGAAGTTTCATCATGTTCGCTAACGAATCGAGCAGCTCTCCATCTCGTTAAACAAACAGCTCAGATCAAGGCTGCCCTCACGCTCTGGTCACCTTCCTATGCGCGGAAGGAACAATATACAAATAAAGTTATGGAAAATTTGAAAAAGAAGCTATTAAAAAAACAAAAAAAAACAAAAAAAAAAAAAATAACAACAACAGAACTCCACTTGAGTGCCGCCTCTTTGATAAAAAGTCAATACCTTTCATTTGGATACAAAATGTTTTTAAAAAAAAAAAAAAATAACAACAACAGAACTCCACTTGAGTGCCGCCTCTTTGATAAAAAGTCAATACCTTTCATTTGGATACAAAATGTTTTTTTTTTTTTTAAATGTTAAATAAATAATATATTTTTTTTTAAACCCTTTCGGGACGGACCACTTTTTGGAGTGTCAGTGCCAAGAAGATGGAGCCCTTTTTGGAGTGTCAGTGCCAAGAAGATGGAGCCCTTTTTGGAGTGTCAGTGCCAAGAAGATGGAGCACTTTTTGGAGTGTCAGTGCCAAGAAGACGGAGCACTTCTTGGAGTGTCAGTGTCCAGAAGACGGAGCACATCTTGGAGTGTCAGTGCCAAGAAGACGGAGCACATCTTGGAGTGTCAGTGCCAAGAAGACGGAGCACATCTTAGAGTGCCAGTGTCAAGAAGGTGGAGCACTTTTACAATCTCGGCACTCATACTGCAAAAAAAAAAAATATTTAAAACTCAACAACAGCAAAACAAAAGTTTACTTTTACATATAAAAAAACTAAATATATTCTTGTATAATATTTAATAAACTACTACAATCTTTTTAAATCAAAATGAAATTTCAACATCTTTGCAAATGAGCGATCTTGATTGGCATATTTTATGCGTGTAATTTTTTGTTGCACTTAGACTAAACATGACTTACTTATTTCAATTGTGGGAATTTTTTTTATTAATGAAGCCTGAATAAGACCTAACATTTGTGGTATGAGAAACCTATGCCCCACGGAGGCCCTTCAGACACCTCTGCCCCATGGAGGCTCTTCAGGCACCTCTGGCACATTGAGGCTCTTTCAGACACCTATGCCCCATGGAGGCCCATCAGACACCTCTGGCACATTGAGGCTCTTTCAGACATCAGTTCGGGGCCCTTAATATTAAACCAAGGGATCACAACATCATCATTTTAATCGACTACATTACTTTCCTCGGTTGTTTTCATCCATCAGTGTTAGATTCACTGCTAGAATATCAAAATCACTGAGGATAGTTTGATCAGTGTCACTGTCAGACATTTGTGAATTTTACGATATTACTTGAACCACACACACACAAACATATTCCTGAATGCAACAAAATCTAGTTTTTAAAAAAAAAAAAAAAGCAGCCTGCCATTAAAATACTATAATGTGTAAAAATATGTAAAAAGCAATCTGATTAGCTGGAACGAAGACCAACCAGCCAATCCCGAGGCTTAAATTATCGGTCCGAGAGGGTTAAAGGAGCAAATCATGGGAGAGCACCAGGCTCGCTGTGTAGGTCTCATGATCACATAAACATGTAATGCTTTACCAGCAGACTGGTACAGTGCTACTATTCAATGAATGCCGCACGTCGGGTACAGATCCCAGAAGAGATAACTCTTGAATACTCTTTAAGTTATACTATTAGACTGGGTGCTGGCTGGAATCAAAGGCGTGTCCTTAATAAAACAAAAAGTGTGGCCAAAAGTTCACCTTGAATCGCTGCTCATCTAAGGAAATGAAAACGTTTTCTGGCCAGCGGCTAAAAACAAGGGATCTTATTTATAATCTGGATTCCGATGGTTATCATTGGTTGCTTTGAAATGCAATGGAGATTTGTTACGTTTCCTAATAAGATTAATTTGACGAGTTTCAGATTTTCAAAAGAACATTTATGTCAGTTTATAATATCAATGGAATTTAAAAATCATATTTGAAGAAGCTTCCACACCACTCTACTTACTCCAAAGTTTGATAAATGATATCTATGATGAGAGTACCAAATATGATTTTTTTTTTATTTATAAAAAAAATGTACAATATCTACAAACAAAACAAAAAATTACAATTTTAAACATACAAATAATGCCGCACATTGCAATTTTTAATGTAACAATCTTATGCTGAGGTTTTTTTTTTAAAAATAGGAACACAAAGAATACAACGACAAAGTTAACTCCATTAAATAGTCGACATTTGTTTCTCGTTGCAAGAGCTGCGCCCCGGGGCAACCAATCATGAGCTGCTATGGGCTGCTCTGTTGACTTAGCCTCCTATTGATTGCGGACCAGTTAATCAAGTCAAACTGTTTGGCCGAATAAAGCTAATCGTTAGCCCGGTCTTCTCTTATAACCTTAAAATCGGTTCATCTATTGGCAGCCATCTTAATCAAAAAAATTGTTTTTTTAAATCTTAATTAAAAGACACATCATATTTTCAAAAATTCAAAGAACATTATTTTTCTTTTAAATTTTATTAATTTTTTTTTCCCTTTTTTGTTAAGATGACTATATTAAAATACGATTTTTCCATTTAAAAAAAATTGCTGTTGACCTACAGTTGATAAGACTGGGGTGGGGGTGGGGGTGGGGGTTGGTTTAGTATTTTTTAAAGAAAGTAATAAGAATACTTTTGTGTAACCTATAACTCTAGGGAAACTGTTTACACAAATCGTTTACGTGAACACGTAAAAATTGAATTGATTTAAAATACAAAATGATTTTGACTGATATGAAGATGGGTTAGGGGACGATATCAATTTCAGGCAATATTTTTTTAAAAAATGTGGGTTAAGGGGTAACATATCTTCTTAGATTTATAGAATACGGCAATGACTTAATTTTTAAAAATATTTTCTATTTCTTTTTATTTCTTCATTTGTCATGTCGGCTGAGGAAATCGCTTAGCTGAAAAAGCTCTTCTTTACACGTACCGTCTTCCTATTTCAAGCTTCCGAATAAATTGGTTTTTTCTCTTTCCTAGACTTGTAGACTTTCTCAGTAAGATGTGAATGTTTTTTTTTTTTAAATAACGACTTTAAAAAAAAAATTACTTTAATGATGAAAAAATTTGTCCCACAATCTTACGGGGAATCGTAATTTTATAAGCGAGTTATTTTAAAGTTTTAGTTCTATATTTTCGTTTTGTGTGTGTGTGCAAAGAATTTGGAAAAAAAAATATTTAAAAAAATAACATTATCTTGTTAAATTTATTTATTCAAGTAAAACTTTTTTGTTAGGCTATAAGAGTCCTTATAAAATTAGCTATAAATATATGTTTTATTCATGTTTTATAGATATTTTCACACACTTTAGCGCAAACTTCCTTTTACTCTATTATGATTTTTTAAAAATTAGTATTTTATAAAAAAATTAAATAAAATTAAATTAATCCATACATCTCTGTATTGTTAGCCTATTTTTTGGGGGGCAATGAATTTGAAGGAAATGTAGGTGACTTGATACAAATATCATAAATTCACAGTTCATCTCTTTCACATCGCGCCTTACTCTCTAAGCCCCAGATGTTAATGACGCTCCGTCATTGGCATACGAATCGAAAAAAAGAAAACAGTGTACGGTATTTGCTAGGGTTCGCGAAGTATTATTTGATCTTTTAATCCTAAATACAATGGAAACAATGAAAGCCAACTGAATGATGACGCGCTGCTGTTATCGTGACTATATTTTTACTGGTAGGTTTATAATTATCCGGCAGCTCAGAACCGTTTCAGGCAAAGAACACGTGGACACTTTGTGGAAACCATTACTTAGCTACGGCACGTGAACAGACCACTCGTGTATTCGAACAGACGTTCATTTCTCAGCATCGATTCCAAATGGTTGCTTTAAAAAAAAAAAAGTGATTTTTTTTCCCCCTTTTAATTTGGTAATTAAATAGTGTGTGTACACTTAAGATGATATGTTATTCTGTAACAACTTAACATACGTATAAGTACAATAACTATTTGTTTTCACCAGGGTGAATTTTAAGCACTATTAAAATTTTCTTCTTCTTCTTCTTTTTTTTTTTTTAAATTGCTCCGAAATGATGGTTATGTTTATAAGTAACAATTTAAGTTAATGCTAGTAAATGTTCAATTTAAACCCAAGCGGAAGTTATCTACTTTTCTTTCTTTCCTTCACCGATAAACTAACGATTAATGATAACTGTATCCTTTGCTGTTAAGTGCCAGTCACAGCAATATTGCTGGTAATTTGCAACGCGCCACTATTTAATTTTTTTTTTTTTTAAATTTTCCCCCCCCCCCCCCCCCCCGCCTTTACTTGTTTACTCGCACCGACACAAACCTATCATGATACATTTAGTGGATAAGCTCGATAAAATGTTGGGTGTCTAGGGGGGGGGGGCAGGTTTTAATTCTAAGTTCCAGCAACAACCGCGGGTAATCACTATTTAAATGGTCTGAACGCTCAAAGCTTATTGACAAAAATAAAATAAATAAATAAAATCCTCTGGACGAACTGTGTAAATATGTCTTACTATTGAACGATTGCAGACAGACTATACACATTGCCATTGTAATTGATAGGACATTCCAGTAAGGCATTAAAACCATTACACTGGAGATATAACATGGACGCTTTCGTGTGCAGTATGGACGGCCAGCATCTGTTTGTTCAATGCCTCTAGAACGAATTTAACATAAATTTTAAAATTAAAAAAAATCATAATGGGCGCTCTACTAGAATGATGTATTAATAGATACGAACCCGAAAAAGTGAGTAAAAGACGGGAAGCCTTAAAAAAATGTGCTCGATTCACCAAGGACGCACGCCAATGTTCAAGTCGAACAGTATATTTGCAGAATTCTAATATGGAAGCATGGGCACTTGAACTTAAATCAGTTTACTTATAAAATTCTACTTACACCGAAAATTTAAGGTTTGCAGCAAATCCAAGTAAATGCGCAACTTTGAAAATGTTTCTTGATTGAAAGTTCAACTATTTGATCGTGAAAGTATGTTCATGGTTAAATAATAATTAACATACAAACTATTAATGATAAGGGACGCAATGGTTAAAACTGCATCATAGCGTAGTCATTCAGGACATGCATTATAGTTGATCGAGATGTCCCTAGCAAATATAATTTAAGCTGGCATTTTGTGAGACTGGATGTTGCCCCGGGGGTACATGAAATGTAGGCCTACGTGAGTTGCTCACTGCAAATACCAAACACATTACGGGTGCCATTACCCTATGTTTTTAGGTATCATCACAATATTCAAGTGAGATCCTTCCCACACATTCATTCACAAATCGATTAATTTAAAATTCAACAAACGCGTCAATTAAATAAGTATATTGTGTGGTCTTTATTTGGTTAGATCCTTGTACCACTTGTCCATCTTTAAAACATGAAAGGGGCATAACTAACGCTACATTGTGGGTATCACACTAAGCATTCTTTATAAAAAAAATTGTAAAAACAATAAAAAAAAAAGGCAACTGCCAGATATAAATTCTTTGAAAGATATTGATTCTTGGAACAAGATATTTTAGATTTCAAAATAAAAGATAGTGCGATTAAACTATGGGAAGGTCCCGTTCGAAAATGTACGTACCTTACATTGTTTTTGTTTTTCCAAAAGTGAGTTGAGACCAGATTTATGTAGCAATAGATCTTCATCCCTTGCATCATTGCTGAATATGTGACGTGTGTATGTTTGGTGTATGTTTATCAAGTTAAAAAAAAAAACATCATTGAAAATATAGTTTCAATTTATTTCATGATAAAAAAAACTCATTTCTTTCAAAACAGTTAAAATGTGCACCTAAGTTACCCCCACCCAACTATGTAGCGCCTAGTCCTGCAATTCTTCGTGCATTTAAACAAAACCAACAAATCAGTCTATTTTATGTACACACAACTCCCTACTTCTGCTAAAGGACAGAGAGGAGTAAAATGTAGAATGTAATTGTGTTTGTCGAGTCATAAATGCGGCACGCTGACTAAACACCATTATAAAAGTACATCGCTCAAAGTGGGAATTTCATCATTTTCTACATGAGTTTGTCAATGATTATTTGTGTCATAATTCCATGCAATGTGCAGGCTATCGTTTAGTAAGCTATCTTCAAGGGCTGCGGCTATTCGGACCCGGGTCCCTTCAGACTAAATGCTTTTTTGGATGTCATTTGTGGTAGTTTTTTTTTTTTTAGTTTCACTGAAAAAAGTAAGTTTACAAACATATAGTTCATTCAATTATCTTTCCTTTTAAAACAACTTTTTAATAAACTCAACCTCTCATTCTTTTCCGGGTCCGAAGAGCCCATTCGATCTTCAATATCTGATACCGGTACCCCGCATTTCAATACGAAGTCTTTACTCGGTAGTGGGATTAAATAGCAATAGGACTTGTGAAAATTTAGTATTTATTGTGAAAATATTGGCCAGGTCCTCAATGAAAGTTTCTTTTGTTTTTATACCATAGATAAATACATTAGGTTTGCATATATTGAAAAAAAAAATTATACCCCTCTATCATCTTCTTTCTTTCTTAACGATAAAAGGGAAATAAGTTGTTAAGAGTAAAACAAAAAGAGTTATGAAACATTGTTAGGAAATTCAACTTTAAAACAACCTGCACGATTAAAATTTTTCGAAAATAATTTAACGAACTTTTAACAAATAAATTGTGATCATGTGTGTGGACGCCATGCCTTGCGGTACGCTCTCGGACAACACCAGCTGGACGACCACGGCAGCGACCGCTGACCCCTACCGTCCAGTGATCGGCGATGCCGTCAGACGGTGGTTCGAGATCGGCTTCTACATCATTCTCAACGGTTCGATCAGCCTGATGGGATCGTTCGCCAACATCATCAATATCATCGTGTTCGTCAAACAGGTGAGTGATGAACAACAACATACGAAGTGTAGACATGAAGTAAATTAGTTTGTGTCTAATTAAGCTACTAAAAAGCTTTATCGCAGTTCAAACATCTATTAATTAGCTTATGAGAGATCTACAAGTACCCCATATATATAAAAAGTCGTAAGGTCGCTAAAGCTTAAAAAATGTGCTCTATACTTCTTTTAAAATTGATTTAACTAGAGATATATAGTCATTGTTAGTAACCCTCGACCCTTCAAATGGGCTCCATCAGCAACTGTGAATTATTGTTTCGTTAAAATCATGATGAGAGCGAACTTTTTAAAGATCAATGGAAACCGACACATCCCCCCCCCCCCAAACCCCTTTTTTTTGTTTGGCCCCCCTGAACTCCACTTTACGAAACGAACGTATTTTCGTATTAACATTAAAAAAAAAAAAAAGAAAAGCTAACGGGTCAATCGTAACAGAGGCAGAAGTTATTTTACACATCCATAACTGGGTTTTTCCTTCACAGGGACAGTATTTCAGCTTTCACGGTTGGTTTAAAAAACATAATGATTTTTGAGTTCAGGCCCTTGTTATTCGTACTCAACAAGTAAAAAAAAAAACCCAACAAGTTTTGTTTTGGATTTTCCCCACACAGGGATTTAACGACACCATCAACATTAGTCTTCTATGTCTGTCGGTGTCAGACTTGGGAAGTCTGCTGTTGCTAATCGTCCAGGGGATATTTCTGAGTCCTCTCTTCGTCGACTCGGACATACCGATAGCTGGAGAGGAAGTGCACTTCTTATTTGGAGGTAAGGCAACGTATTGTCGGAGCTTAAATAAGGATATTTCTGTTCTTGCGAATTATGATAAGATAAGGTAAGATAAGATGATAAGATAAGATACGATTATTAATAGAACCAAAAAAACAAAAAAAAAGAAAGGAAATGTTTTTTGTTTTTTTTTATTACACGCTACGTATTAATTGTATGCACATAAATATGTACATATTTGTAACCAAGACATTATATTACAATTATAACAATTTAAACACAAGACACCTAAGGTATTCCTCTAGCATAGAATTCGGCCCTCATTGAACAACCTTTAGCGCCAATAATGACTGAATTGGGGATCATTTAGATTGAGTAAACGCCACGGGAGCACGCTGGTAAATTGGCATAGGCCGGTGCAGCGACAGAATTTTTAAATCTTTCGGTATTAACTGTAAGAGAAAGAATCCAAATAGCACTGGTCTAATGGGACCCGGGTCCGAATAGCGGTGATGCGTTTCAGGTTCCATTTTGACTAAAGGCGCTTCGGATGTCATTTGTGGTAGTTTATTTTAGTTAAACTTAAGAGGTAAGTTTACAAACATATAGTCCATTCAATTATCTTTCATTTGATACCAAAAGTCTTACAAACCCTACAATAATTTTGAAATATTTTTTTAATAAACCCAAATTCTCACGTCTCGGACCCGGGTCCGAATAGCCGCAGCCTACTTGTAATATAGTTAACGTAGAATATACTTATAATAAAGCTTTAACATACTATAATATACTTATATTTTTCTAAAATATGGAATTGATGACAACTTTTCTAAATTTTTCGCACCAATTTTTAAATACATATCATTTTCCAGCAATCCCCCATGGGATGTGCGTGCGGTACGCCTGGTGGATCACCACGTTCATCACCTTCGAGAGGTGCCTGTGCATCGCCATGCCGCTCAGGATCAGACGCATCGTCACCCCGGCGACCACGGTGGCCGTCATGGCCCTCATCGTGCTGGTCAACTCCGCGGGCATGTCCCTGCTCTTCGCCAGCTACACACTGGACCGGAGGTTCTCAGAGGCGAGGAACGGAACGCTCTTGGGACTGGGCTACCCAAGCTACTGCGCGGTCCTCATCTACGTCAACTCCCAGTTCAACACGGTCACTCAGTTCCTCGCGTTCTTCATCAACATCATCTGCGCGGCGGTCATCTCGGCGATGCTGAAGAAAAAATCGAGATGGCGTCTGAAAACGTCCAACGTGCCTCGGGCCGGTTCCGGCGGTGAGCTGAGCACCAGAGACAAGAAGCTGGTCAAGATGGTGGCGCTGATATCGTTCATATTTATCATCTGTCTGATGCCGAGCTGCTTCAACTTCATGATGGAGTTTTTCTACGGGCACGTTTACAGCTTTTCGGGCCCGGAGAGAAATCTTTACTACATTGTTTGGTCCTGGATGCTGACGCTAGAGGCTTTCAACAGTTCGGTCAACATCTTTGTGTATTACAGCATGAGCAGTAAATTTAAAGCCACATATGATCGGATGTTCTGCAGAAATAAGATCGTTCATACCAAAACTTAATGTTGCAGATGTGTACAAGTTTTTCATTGTTGGAATATGTAATACAAATATGCATTAAAAATTAAATATTTTTGTAATACTAAAATAAAACAGAAGGCGACATGTTACAGAACACGGTGTTTAAATCAATCTCATGTTTAAAATTGCACACTGAATATGTTTCCAATGATATCTCTGCAAAAAAATCAAAAGATAAATCTGAGTGTTGTCGAGAGAATTTTTTGTTTCCTAATTGTATGGATCCTGAGAAAGGTCCACACCAAGAATAGATCTATGTGAATGATGTCATTTCTCTATCGATTTAAAAAAAAATAAAATCAAGTCATATTAAAATCTTTGCAAAGAAATGATAACATAAAGTCTACCATCTTGGGGTATTTTGGGGTCTACGTAGTGTCGTCCGGCGAAACCACAAGATACTCAACAGTTGAATTTAATGAAACCTACTCATTGGGATAATGGTCTTATTCTAGAGACGTTATAGTAAAAAAATCGGTTGTTTCAAATAATGTAGTGTTGTTGTATTCAGAGCATCTGTAATTTGTTGGGTCAGTCACTTCAGAGTGTGTGTGTACGTGTTCAGAGAGTCTGTGTGAATGTGTGCAGAGTCTCTGTGTGTACGTGTCACAGAGTCTGTATTTATGTGTTCAGAGCCTGTGTGAATGTGTGTGTTCAGGGCATAAGTTAAAAAAATAAACTATTCGGTTGCCTGGCTTGGTCTTTTGCTAATGTTATGGGTGGAAATGGCGTGTCGTGCTGACGCATGCACCTAAAAATGTTGATGATATGTTATAGTGCATCCGCTTATGAATGCTGAAGTAATGGATTCACCCCTGCAGTTTAAATGTTCAGAGCCAGGCCCGAGCTAGACTCTACGCTTAAATATTCATCACACCCAAATGACATTGTTTAACAATGCCTTAGATGTATAAAACAACACACAATGTAGACAGCAAAACACAATGTTCGGCTTGTGTTTGAATAAATTCACGTTCATGGATCTCTGCATTCTTTATACACAGAGAAATAATAGTAAACTCTTCCCACGCTTTTTGTTCGGTTCGCTTTTTAATATTTTAAAAATTCATAACAAGTGACAAGATACATTTTGAAAATGCACGATTTCTCTAAAGTCTGAAGCAAAATTTACCGTTTTATGACACACGTTTTCATAAAATATCACGCAATATATATTCAAATAGCAATGCGTCTCAACAATTGTGTTTGATCGAGCCTCGGTACAGTTTGAAAAGCTTTAGTTTGTACTGAAAGACTTTGAGTACGAAACATTTTCAGTAGTCGATGGTGTGCCTTTGAGTATGTTAGCTTAGCACTAACGTGTGTTGTTAGCTTAGGACTAATGTGTGTTGATTCATCCAATCACAGGAGGATGATTGTACACAATTTGTGATCATTTACTCAACATTTTATTCTGGCATTTAAAAAAAAATGTTTTGTACGAACAAATTGAAAAGCAATGAGACCGAGTTGCACTGCAAAAGCTCACTGTCCAGAAATGTGTGGTAACTATGTATTATTATTATATCTTTTCCTGCAGGTAAATAAGGAGAAATTATATATTATTTATTTTATAGATATGAGTGAAAATGAACTCGAACATTAATTCTCCTGATGAATAATGCAATGCAAATTAACCATTGAAATATGGCTGACTTTGGAGGTCTCGTTTTCAATCAATTTGACTAAACCTTCGAGTTTCCCATTGGTTGTTAAGCCCGATAAGTTGTTAATTTGTAACGGAAAGCGATTCAATATCGATGTAACTGCCTCTAACACAGCGGTTCTCAACTTGTGGGTCGCGACCCCTTTGGGGGTCGCTGGACCCTTTTCCAGGGGTCGCCTAAGACCATCTGAAAATATATATCCTTACAGTTAGGAAGTAGCAACGAAAATAATTGTGTGGCTGGGGAGTCGCCACGACACGAAAAACTGTATTAAGGGGTCGCGGCACTAGAAAGGTTGAGAACCACTGCTCTAACACATCTCGTAATTAAGTCCTTCCTTAAGTGGATACAGGTCCGCTAAGTCTTATGACTTTTTAAAATGGACATCAACATCCCTGATAAAAATTGCCATTTGGGCAGTATCTGCCATATCTGTGCTGTCACCCAATGCTAGAGGATAGAATATAAACTCGGATGCTTGACTTTTCAAATTTTCTTCAACACGTTTTTCAGTGTCGTCCACACGCCTAGTATTAGTCTGACCAGACAGACTTATTTATGAGAAATCCTTCTTCTTTTCTGGACACAGAATTTCAACGACGCTCTCCAGACATTCCTTAACCCTTTCACCATCTGAATAATAATATGGCTTCGACAGTTTTTGCTAGTATCGTGGCTACTGCATAACAAGCTTTTACATAGCATGTTGCCGCTGAACCCGCTCAAGTAAATATCTTTTGTTGGGCAGATGGGCAGATTTTTTTTCTTCTTTTTTTTCAAGTCATTTACTTGGTCTTGTCGAAATTGCCCTTTGTACTTAACCAACTTATTTGCATTTTTAGTCTCGTACTGCCGTTTAATGTTATACTCTTTCAAAACAGAAATAGATTCGTTGCGTAGCACGCTGCATAGCAAGCATGATGGGTTTGTTAATTTCCACGAAAAAAATAGTTTTGAGACGACCTGTCTTGAAAACTTCTTAATTCTTCTGTGATTCTTCTATTCTTTGGTCCAACATCTTTACTAGTTGACACCACGGGTAATACATATTAATAATAATTGACGTTAATATGCATAGCTATCATATTTATACTAAGAGTTGAAACTGCTCTAACCAAGTATCATGTCTACCATATCGATTGTGTAGGTAATTAAACCCTGAAACGTCTTATTCTACTAAAGTTACTTGACAAAACACGAATTCAGGTAAACTACTTTATAAGAATTCCAGACAGAAGACACACTAAACAACCAACGTACTGTCAACTTCCGAGAGGAACGCGCTCAGCTTGTGGGCAGCGATAACGATTTAAAGATTGTCTAAAAGTGTCGCCTCAACTCATGGACATTGACCTGAATTCGTTTGAAAAACTTGCCATGGACGCACAAGCTGAAAGGACAGACCTACTTGTTGGGCACAGATCTCAACCACCTGTATGACAAACGTACAACTCAAGCCCAAAGAAAAGGACGCAGTAAGGAAACTATTAATCGCCTCCAATCAAACTATAGGACATCAAAGCACGTGTGTCCCCACAAGCGTGGCTGTTAATTTAAGACACCTTCGTTCTCAAACCAGTGGAATATGTCCTTGGGGATCTCCGCACGAGAAGGAATACAGCACAAAAACACCAATTTATCAATATGGAACTGTAGCCAGAAGTAGAGCAAGAAAACGTCCATTGACCAAGTCATGGAATAATTGATTACCCTGGGTGCCTGGTATGTAACGGAATACTAACTACTCTCTCTATATTAGCAATCAAAAGACGTACGTCATGCTTTTAAATTGTATTTCCTCCTTTATTATTTATCTATTCTGTCCTGGTTTTTCTTTAGTTTTGTTTATATCAATCCGTCCATTTACCTTTAATTAAACTTTTAACACTCTGGGGAGGATATTTTTTTTCCAAAAATTTCTTCACTCACCTTCAGTGACAGTGTCACTTAGGAATTAGACTTAAGCTAAGCTAAAATTTCTAAAACTGTAGTAGGCTTGATGATCTTTTTAGTAACAAGACTTATTACAAAGTGACTAGGTAGGGCGAGTTGAACCCTTTGTCACACTGCTTTGTGAGTTACGTTTCCCGGGGTGCAATGTTATGTCATTGTCAACGTTCAATAATCAAAGGTGCCGCCATTTGGCATGATTGGGCAATATATTGTACAAGCCATACCATTTTCAGATTAAAATTATTAAAAAGATTAATATTTGAGTAATTGTAATCATTACAATATAATACATATAACATCTTGCTTGATTTGACTTACTGTACCAGTGCACTGAATACAGAACTAATACTGACTTACTGTACCAGTGCACTGAATACATAACTAATACTGACTTACTGTACCAGTACACTGAATACCAAACTAATAGTGACTAACTGTGCGAGTACACTGAATTCATAACTAATGCTGACTTAATGTAACAGTACACTGAATACCTAACTATTACTGACTGACTGTGCCAGTACACTGAATAACTAACTAATACTGACTTTCTGTGCCAGTACACTGAATAAATAACTAATACTGACTTACTGTGCCAGTACACTGAATACCTAACTAATAATGACTTACTGTGCCAGTACACTGAATACCTAACTAATACTGACTGACTGTGCCGGTACACTGAATACCGAACTAATACTGACTGACTGTGCCGGTACACTGAATACCTAACTAATACTGACTGACTGTGCCGGTACACTGAATACCGAACTAATACTGACTGACTGTGCCAGTACACTGAATACCGAACTAATACTGACTGACTGTGCCAGTACACTGAATACCGAACTAATACTGACTGACTGTGCCAGTACACTGAATACCTAACAAATTTAAACTGAACTTATGAAGTTCTGTTTTTCTTCACGCAGTGAAATTTCAATAAAAAATATCTTTTTTATATTATGACTGACATGAGTTTGTCACGGAATTTGTGTGATCAAAGTTGGTTTATTTTAATTAAACGTAGCTTTTCATTTGAACTCTTTGTTGTTTTTTTTTAGTTGTTGTTTTTTTCATGTGTGTTTCAGTGTCCGATCTATCTGAAGTGAGAGAACCTAGAAGGCTCATAGCCATAGTAATGTTTACTGCACTTTACGAAGCTTAACAGTTTTGAATGATTCACTACTGATGGCTATGGGAAAAGTTTGGAGAATTTAAATCTAAATGGTCTGGATATTGGTTTTTTTAAAGGAAGGAAAGATACCGACTTTCATAAAATGCTAAAGGAAGAAATTCAAGAAG